ATCGAGATATCGATGGATTTTTGATGTCGTGAAAGACCGGCAGCGTTTTTCAACAACGGACTGATTACTTGATGACCTGTTCTAACAGATGGGGTCTAGACGACGTAACGGCTTTGTTGACTTGGCCGGAAAAACTGCCTTTGGCATCAGAACTTCGTGAATCCAGCATCGTAACGACGGGCTTTAATCACGACAAGTGACGACAGTCTCATGGACGTACGCACAAGAATGGAGTGCGAAAACAAACGAAGCATGGTCCTCAAGTTGACGATAACGAAGTGTCACCAGCTGAGGAAATATCTTACGGTAGAGCCATTCATCTTCTGTTATTTTCTTGGATATTCGGTGTTCTTTTCTGCATCGTTCCCTGCTTTCTATAACAAAGTCTGCATGGAAACTTTAAAGTCTGCGTACAAGTGCAGCCAGTTGGACAGAGACTTGTCCGAGCAGAACACTGTCCAGACGGTGACCACAAACTGGCTAATGTATATGCAGATCGCGAGGTTCTTGCCTACCCTGGTAGGCAGCATGTTCTTCGGCAGCTACGGTGACTGTTACGGCAGGAAAGTGCCCCTCTTGATCGCAGAAGCCAGTTTCGTCCTCTACATGGCCTTCTATCTCGTGTTGGTCACTCTGCAGCGATGTCCGGTCTACAGCTTGATCATCGTTTCGACCATATACTCAATGACGGGCCATCACGTCACCTTTCTGACGGCCATTTTCTCTGAGATAGCTGATCACACGGAGGACAAACGCCAACTGACAGCTCGCTATACGGTGTTGACTGCTTTCTGGACATTGTCCGGTTTAATCGGTGGTTATGTATCTTCTGGTTTGCTGATGGTTCTCACCTACCAGTACGTGATGGTGATCGGAATATCGGTCGTTGCGCTTACCTTCATCTGTAGTGTGCTAAGTTATCCTAATCAAGACCGAAAGTCGTATATGAAATCTGAAGCCAGGTGTGGGGAGTTCTTCAAAAGTGGAATGAGTCTGTATGTGCTAGCGGTGAAGACCGCGTTGAAGAAACGTCCAAGCAACGGTCGTCTCTACTTGGCCCTCATCTGCATCATAAGCATTGTGTACGCTTCAGAAGACAGTGGCATGGACAACTTGGCATCGCTGTTTGCGTTTCACTCCCCTTTGTCTTGGGATGCCCATTTGCTCGCCACCTGGGGTGCAACCAACTCGGCAGCGGCTCTGGTCGGCAGCCTCATTGCTGCGTATATCAACGAGAAACTGCGGCTCCATAGTCTGACCAGCGTCATGATAGGTCTTGCATCTGAGAGCCTGCGAATGGCGATGATCGCCGGCTCAGTTCACACGTGGATGATGTTCCTGGTGCCAGTGCTTGGCTGTGCGTCGACGTTCGGATTCTCGGCCATCAAGGCGTACGTCGTTCAGCTCGGTTCAGCACAGGAAAGTGGAGAACTGCTCGCCTGCATTACCTCGTTCATGAACCTCTTCACTCTTTACTCGGCAATCGTTTACAACAACATGTACGTCGCCACGTTGTCCATATACCACGGATTTGTATTCGCATTTGCATCGGTCACCGTCTTCTTCTGCTTGCTGATCGTTTGGGGCATGAAGCTGGTTCAGGACAGAAACTTGCGCAATTCGACATCTCATTCCATCACGCCATCCACGTGAAAGAAATCACTGAACAGCGTGTTGAACCGGAAACTTTTCAACAGCTCTGAGTACATGATAGAAACGGTCATTTTTCACCACCATTTAAAACTGTTGGCATATTACCTAGTTAGTAGAAATAGGAACGATTATTATAACAAACATTTGTAATGGCAAATAGAACAGACTTTTTATTTTAATTTTTGCTGTTTCTTACTTAATCAATCAATTATAATACTAGAGATTTTATTCTTCAGTGTCTGTGCTCCACTACAAGATGAACAGGTTAATATAAAACTTGCGTTACAAATGCTAAAGGAGAATTTTTTGGTTTTTTCCAAGAGATGAAAGGGAGTCAATATTCTTCCAGAAACGCTACCTGTAGAAACAACACCAAATATTGCGAACTCATACCATCTTCATACGCATATGCAGTTTCTCGTCAGTACATGTAAATTATCACGTTTAAAGTGCTGCAGAGTCGACCTACGTCTTGCGTACGATAACCGTTTATTGAGAACCGACAAGGTGGCATCAGCGGTAAATGCTTGATATGGATTGAACGCAAAAATATCTATCTTCCATACGGTAGTCCCTTTCTTAAGAGTGAGAGACGTTTATCGCTTCTTACAAACATATCGATGGACCATGTCGTATAGGAGTGGTCTGAAAAAACAGAGCATAGTCGTTGAAAGATGTAAATATGATTGGCGCTTTTCTTACGACGATGTGTTCGACGACTGGATACCAAGTTTGGACATGACATCTGCTTTAGTGAGTCTATTTCTCGGCTGTCCGGACTCTGAAAACAGCAAACGTTAAAATTTTGCACTTTATATGCCCTGAAACGTCTCTAAGGATGATGGCTTTGAAGCAGTGTGAAACAATCGTCTTCTGCGATTGATTTCAGGAGCTTAGAAAGGAATACAGACCAGCAGGACAAAATATCTGTAGGATCGAGGATCGACTAGGATAGCTACCTCGTGTTAACGCTACTCAGTGTCGGCACATCATGTGACCAAGAATTTAAATCTAGATAATTATTGTTAGACGGCTGGACGTATAGTTTAAATTGTTTAACCCTATGTTGCAAGGCAATAAGAAGCTCTCTATGTGCATAGTAAGAACTTGCTTTACAAATTTTTGAATATCGACATTTATGAATCATTTGATTCTTTCATTGAACCGAGTAATTGTGCTCAGTACGTTAGCGCACAGTGGTGAGGTCGTTACTTTGAATTTATGTAATTTCCCTACGTCCATCTATGCCCATTCTACATGTTATTTCGCATTATGTTATGTAATAACGAATGGTTTAGTAGTTCAGGATATTCGAGAAAGTTGTATTGTGTACAATCGCTTCTTCCCCAGAGTGATTAGCTATAGCCGGTAGAACTTGGAAACGTTTCGGAAAATAACGCAAACCAGCCTTTATTACTTGCTTCATTTACCGGCCAGAGACCCTAGGGAAGGACAAGAATCACTTATAACTTGATGTACTATTCCTAAGGGTCATATATAAATTTGTTTCGATATATCAGTCGTGATAGCCTTTGAAAACAATGACAAACAATCATAATAATGACTCAGAGAAAGTGCATCGACGTGCTCTGTTTAAGAACTGGGGTTTCTCCGCCGAATCTCTGATATGTTGCACAGGATTGGGAACGTTAGAGACATTTTCTCATAGTAATGCTTCTTCCTCTGAAAGGCTAAGTAGTCATCGAAATTGATTGGTTGGCTGACTGACTGAGTGACCGACTTTCATTCTTATATACTTACTTTATTTCTTATTTTGTTATTTAGTTACGTAATCATTTACGTAATTAACGGATGCCTGTCTGTCAAACGTAAGGAGAAATTTTTCAAACTTATAGACATCAAAGTTTTCCTATGCTTTCATAATAGCTACCTCTTCTTGGGTGGTTCCAATATAACTGCGTCGATTGAATGGATCTCAGAGAAAATAATAGTGTCTGATCTGCTCCGCGGGAAATTTGATTGGTTTACAATAGGATGATGAACACAAAACGATCAACGAATAGCCTGCCACGTTTAAGCAATTCATCGAACTACTGAGAGTTGGAAATGTTACACACTACAAGATGCCACGTGCTACAAACTACGCAATTACACAGTGAAAAGCAGAAGCCTGAGATTCTGTTTTACGAACATTTGGTTTAAAATCATCAGTGACCAGTCAAATTGAAGAAACGCGATAGTATCAACGAACAGATATGTTTTGTGAGTGCGGATTATGGAGCCGTGCTCAAATTCAGCCCGAGGCAACTAAGAAAAAGGGACGGTCAACTAAGCCATGATATCTGATTCTGGAGGAGCACGACCATATTTTTAAGCGTATCATTCGTAGCGTAACGTATGTCCACGGTTTAGTGCGTAACTACGAGGTGAGAAAATATCGCACTCAAGATCATATCTACGTTTCATGCCATACAGCGACTATTTCTCATTCTTTTTTACAGTGGAGAATATATTATATAAGAGATAACACACACCCCGAAGCAGCCATCCAAGCTAATTAAATACTTCGGCAATTAATAAAGTTCCAAAATTTCATAAAGAAGGTAAATAAATTAGTGAGTTTACCAAGATTCAGAACCTCAGCAGTATTGTCGTAGTGATTGAAGGTCAAGTATTCGTAAATCAGCGCATTGATCAACGTATTTTCGGGCGGCGGCTCTTCTGGTGGTTCGACTTCATTGTTTAGGATCTCGAACACTTTTTTGTGTAGATGCGCTCGGGTTCTACTTAAAGTGCCGGTTTTGACAAGGATTTCCTTCAGACCTGAAATTTCAGTCATTAGCGAGAAATTAAAATTTATGCATACATTTTTACGTGCAGCAAATTTGGCGTTGGATCCTAAGAGGGCTGATTGCCTGTTTTTGAAGGCGTGGTAAACAACTTGAGTAAGTTATGGTTCCGTGTTCATATGATGTGAATTCCATCGACTCGTTTGGACAATGGCTGATGCCGTAATCACGCAAAGTTAAATTTTTGGAGGTGGTTGGAGAAGTAATGTGCTTACCAACATATGGTCATATTCTGAGGTTTGTGCGAAAATTGGTGAACAGACAGGCTGAGAATGCGTCAACTTTTTCCAGATCATTTTACAGTTGGTTGTTTTGTATGCCGAATACGATGTTCATTATCTTTCCTCTTTTCTTGGCCTGCCTTTCTTAGACTGCAATTAATTCTTTCCAAGTCTTCAAGCAGCTTTGGCTGCTATTCTTATTAAAATAGGTATATGTTAGGGTAGTTCTGTTCATAGAGTTCTTCGACTGCTCATTTTTTATGCTTCTAGTAGTTTCTTTCTTAGGTGAGGTACTTTTTCTTTTCTTGTTCAGCATCATGGGGCTTACGTTACGAGGAAGAGCGTCATTTCAAATTACAACGAGGGACCGACTGTTTGTCATCGACGCAGCTCAAGATATCCGGCTGCATTTTTATAAGACCATGAATACGCTGATCATGGGTTTCTGTGCGACTTCGCAAGTGACCTGACGGCATTCCCCAAGCGATGTTCAACGCAGCTCTTGGGGTAGGGCTACAAGACAAGGATCATGAGGGCCTCCGCTACAGTCAGCAGTCAGACTACAAATTACGGGTTGATATTACGACAGACGAGGTAGACCATTCAGCGTGTCGGCTAACGACGGCAACATTGATTCAGAGGTGAAACGGCCAAGTTATCTGACATACGTGAATCATGGCAAGATGCATGACAGATGGAATGATCGGATTACACGAAAGGATATGGCAATGATCATTCTGAAAGAAGCCGTGTTCAGGGTGCTTATGTACAGACCTGAAATGTCTGCTGCACTGAAGTGTCAAGACACTCGTCTAGACTGCTTCCAATGACGATGTCTGCACAAAATCCTCAAAGTCTGGTGGAATCATCGGGTCATGAACAATCACGTGCTGAGGACCACTGGTCTGAATAAACTATCAGATGAACTCTGTGACTGGACTGATTTGATAAAATGGAATGGAAATAAAAATGAAAATATATTCATAATATTTTTCACGTGGGAATCGATTACTGACCTTAGACACGTTAGAAAACGATATAAAACGTGGAAGTAGCTTTCTGAGGCATATCTACTTGAGGGGAGGAATATAAGCTTAGCCGCAGCAGTGTTCTTTGCCTAATATCGATCTGAAGTACCATTTCTGACGGTCAGACGTCATCTACCTGGGCTACTTTGCTGCTTAAGCGCTGTTAGCGTAAAATAACGATGACAAAACAAAAAATATATTTTGTGTTCTTTTCTTTGACTCTACTAATTAATTCTTCAAATCTGTTTTAGTTTTGTTTCGATGTTTGGTGAGTCATATATATTATATAGTATCCATATTTTTGACAATTATGCCAGAAGTTCTTGAGCTGATATGTTTCTTGTTTCTTTTTTTAATCAGTAAGTCCATTATCAAGGAGTCATGCATTTGTAATCATGGTGCGAAACTCCTTTTGGCCATATTTTTGTACTGCTTACCTAGCCGTCATAGTTTCTTAACATTTTGTCTCTTCACCTTGTAATGGCCTCTGTCCTCGTATGAACTACAAGGTTGATTCATAATTTATGTCCCTAATTTTAACTTTGCGACGAGCTCTGTTCTGCTCCAATTAATGTAATTTGTGTGACCATTATGGACAAACAGAACACTTCCTCATTTCCAGCTTTACAGCCGATAATGTAAATTTTCTATTTCAGCACCTACAAGGTCATCGTGCCATAATTGCAGCAAACGACACCGGCTAAAGAATATTCGCCGAGTACGCTCTTCGCAGTGTTCAATTACCAGCACATCAAAAGAGAACCTTAGGGCCAGTTAAGTTGAAAACAAGCTATGAGAATTTCTCTCGATTTGAAGAGAGCCAGGGAAGTGCCGCATTCGCAAGGGTTACCATTAACCGTGGTTATAAACGGACTATAAATTATCGTATGCTAATTACGTGTAAATATGAACCATTTCTCTGAATTTGTTCTCTGCCCCCATCGCTGACCAAGTAATTTGATAATCAAAAGGAAGTTTGTGGCCTAGCAGAACCCAGTTCGTAATTCTTCATGTCTGCATAAAGAAATACCGTTCAAAAATTCTGAATGCATGGTATTGAATATTTAATTTTCGAAGTAGTAGGTTCTCTAGTCCAATTACTCTGGCCTCGTTATGAGTTCATGACAGATCATCAATGTTTAGAAAAATTCACCTTACAGTATTTTGCCTGGAATGCGATCCTGCACGTCGCTGATTGCTCACTACCCAGTACGTGATGCTGACTGACGTTGATTTGGAGACTGAAGAACATAGCTCATTTGCATTAGTAAAAAATTCATCATTCAGGGCTGTAAAATCAAAGGACAATGCTTTTCGGTAGATATACTATGCAGCGCACATCCAAACTTCACGACGCGGCCTTATAAAAACCTAGTTCTGGCCCTGGTCATGTATGGTTTAAAATTATGGATGAAGGGAAAGCGAAAAATCACACAGTAATGGTAGTGAAGATTAACTGCTTGTAGAAAATCAGACGATTCTTCAGGTCAAATAAAATTTATTGTGATTTACCTTTAGAATCTGAAGGAATGATTCAAGTACATGGTATATAATTACAAACAGAGAAATGAAGTATTACAGAGGACGTTATACCCAAATGAAAAAACTTGCCCTACTGACGTTACATTATAGGAATATATGACATATAACACAGGGGTGGGAAGGTATCGCAGAAAAAAGAGTTGATCTATTGCATCTTATCTATCTACAGCAGGTAGGCAGATGGAGTGGTGTAAAACTTTGTAATGCTAACCACTTATAGACGAAATCATAATTGTGCAGCCTCTGTCATGTTTGCTTGTGTATCAACTATGTGGCATATACGTAACAAAAATTATTTATTGGAAATGTCTTTTGATACACTGTAGCATAAGCATTCGCGAACAAACTTCAGTGTAAAATTTTGCG